TCTTCATAGGACTTGGGTTCCAGGCCCTTCACCAGCTTCGTAGCCCTTCTCTGGACACACTCCAGGGCCTCGATGTCCTTGAAGTGAAGGGCCCAAAACTGAACACAGTATTGGGGTGCAACCTCCCCAGAGCAGCATACAAGGGGATGATCACCTTCCTGGTGCTGCTGGCTACACTACTCCTGATACAAGGCAGGATACTGACTAGGATCCCCAGTCTCTGCTGTCACTGGCCACCCCTGGTCCCAAGCCACTAAAGTGCAAGGGGTCATCCCAGGACAATCTCTGTGCAAGGAAAGGAGGTCCACCATGCAACTGCTATTCCTGGTGCATGTAACTGGCCCAGTCACATGAAGCTCTCCTTTGCATGGGCTGTCCACTCAGTACTCAGCCTCTTTGTCCCATGTCCCTTACAGCTGCATGCCCCCATGCTAATGATGTGAAGACTTCGTGCAGGTTTGTCCTCCTTCACATGCCACCCTGCCTCTTCACGTGGCCTTGCAGAGCGCTGCTTATCTAGTGCAGGTTGATATACCGCCTCAAAATGGAGGCATGTGGAGAAGCCAGGCTGGCTGGCAAGCACATTGTCTCTTCTTCATCTGTGCAATTTCAGCTTTGCTCCCAAATAATGAGAACAATTGCACAGTCAGCACAAGCAAACACAATGACCAGATGCTAGTCAGTTTTGCAGATGACAAATTACTGTGGCCCTGCCAGAAGCAACATCACAGAGGAGGTACCAGAGGAAAGGCAGCAAGACAGCAGTCTTGTTGGGAGGGCTGGAACCAGATTGGCATCCCTCAGTCTCACGCTGAGAGAAGCAACTGGCACAAGTTCCTGTGCAGGCCAGGCCATCATGGTTGAGTCCTACCTATACATAACAGGCCATTCCTATCTCTGTAGCAGTCTTGTATATACTTGGAAGCTACCAGGAATATAAAGAGAAGCTGTTAGCACATCCCTCTCATTTTCATACCTTCTAGGCTAAACAACCCAGGCTAACTCAGGCTTTCACCATAAGCTGATTTGCCTAAACCTCTCTCTCAGCACTCTCCTGAAGATCAAATTCCTGACTGGACACCAAACCCCAGAAGAGGAACCAGCACTACCCAGCAGCAGATCAGGCATCTGAACTGGATCAGGCATCTTGAAGACTCTGTGCCCATTTACACATCAGTGCATGACACTTGCTTTTATATGGCAGCTGGTCACCACAGAGCAGTGTTCTGTTTTGGATGCAGCATTTGCCCAGTGCTCCTCATACTGTTCTCACTAGGATTAGCTTTCCTGCCCCAGGTTCCACACTTTGTACATTTTTCTTAAACAAAGAGGGTCAATAACTTCCAGCATTCATGGGCTTGATGCCCATTGTACTACTGGATTCTTTTGCTATCAATACACTTGTCATATCCTTTTTTCACTTTACCAGGCTCTTAGTTTCAATGCTTTCACGTGTTATACATGATCTAAAAAACAAAATAAAACCACAAAACCTATACACAGAAAGGTGTGAGCAGTAACTTTATTAATCAGGGATTGTCATACTGTATCAATACACTGGACACCCACATCTCAAACACCATATACTGGTTATTCCATCTTAAAGTAGTAGAAAAAACTGAGCAGCTGCAAAAGATAATAAGGATTTACGGTGACACAAATGATGCAGTGCATATGCATAGCAGCAAACAATTATTAACTGTCTCTTACAATAGAAAGTGGGAAGGACCAAAAGAAATAATTGGGCAGCTGGTCTAAAACCAACAGAATAAATTACTTTTCACATTGCACATAATTATATAACTAAACTCTTAACTTCACAATACCCTGTGATAATCAGAAGTATTAATGTCTTTTCTTGGACATCAGTGAACTACCCCCAGACCAATTATGGTAAAAAAATACCATCACCAAATGAACAAAAAAGAAAAAGGAGGATCAGGAGTTATTAGTGACTAGCAGAGGAACTTTCCATATTTCGTAAAGATTATAGTCTCAAAGAGTTAGCACCTACAACCTGGTGAAGAATCTAGGCCAATTCCTTGGCTGAAGACAAGGGGGGACATAGAGGGCTACACCTCCTCCTCACCTCCCCTGCCTGTCCTTCCTAAACAGTCTGTATCCTTCCATTCCAACATTCCAGTCACAGGAGCCATCCCACCACTACTCCATAATGCCAGTGAGGCCATAGCCCTGCAGGCATGCATATATCTCTAACTCTTGTTTGTTCCCCATGCTATGTGCATTAGCATTGAGACATGTTGGGCCCCTGATGAGGCTGACTTACTGGCTGGGCTGGTTTCAATTCCTTTGTGCTGATCTTCAGGTGCTCTCCTGCTGGCCCATGACCCTTCTTCAGGCTCTGGGCATCTATGACTGACACTGGGATCAAACTGGTAGAAGTGGGATGGATTGAGGCTCCCCGCCGGCCCCAGAAACTTTAGTTTAAAGCCCTCTTCACCAGCTTGTCAAGTCTATGATCAAAGATGCTCTTCCCCTTCCTTCTCTAACAGGTGGACCCCATCAGACCCTCATCAGATAGGTCAGTGATTCAGAGTACGCAAGGAGCTGCACGTAAGTACATTAGAGCTGCAGTATGACCCGAAGCTGTTTGATACCAATACATTGATTTGTGCTTGCTGCCTACTGGGCTGCCTGAACAGACTAACCTGTGCCAAAGTACATTCAGCGGTAAAGAGCCTAAATCCTTGGCTGGTGGCAAAGACAAGAAGTGGAGCGGTTAATATTAATGCCAACCATCAGGTTAACAGTCAGCTCTGCAATAACCAAGTGTGGATCAGACCTCAGTTACAGTGACCAAGAAGGAACGTGTCTTGCAAGATAAGAGACAACTAGGAATCTGTTTGTTCCTCTAAATCCTCTTGCATTCACATTCTGCAGTTGCCAGCTTTATCCTTCACTTTCCTTGTCAGTTCCCTCTCTAGCACGCAGACAGAGGGAGGGGGAGCTTTCCAGCATGACTGTTCTGGGAAAGCAAGATCAGACTCTCCATCCTTCTAACCACTGCTGATTGCAACTACAAGAAAGCTCAGCATGGGAAGGACATATTCCACGAATCCACCAAGAGCATCTAAAAAGTAGCACTGAACAGCCTAGACAGGACCGAAAGACCATCATCCCTGCCTTACACCTGCAAAGTTTTTTTTACCCTTCTCCTTTATCCTTTACTTCTCTGGGCAACCTGTTCCAGTGTCTCACCACCCTTTACTCAGAGAGTGGTGAGGCACTGGAACAGGTTTCCCAGAGAAGTTGTGGATGCCCCACCCCCGGAGGTGTTCAAGGCCAGGCTGGATGGGGTCCTGGCAAACCTGATCTAGTGGGTGGCATCCCTGCCTATGACAGGAAGGTTGGAACTAGATGATCTTTAAGGTTCTGTAATAAATGGCTAAGTCCCAAATAGGGTTACAATCAAAGTTTACAATTTATTAAACAAATAGAGGTAATCAAACAGCGCTGGGTGCGCCGGGAGTCTCCGCTCCACGAAGACACACACAAGTTACATCAGGTGGCTGTTTTTTATGCTCCTAGGCTAATACATATTCATCACCACTTTTGGAAAAGGCAGGGTTATTATAATTAGTTTCCCAGGACCCAAACCATCCCATGGACACATGCGTATCAGTCTCCAGTGGTCCTTCTGGGGGTCGCTTGTACTGAAGGCTCGTAGTCTTCCTCCCAGGCTTTGTCCTTCGGTCATTCTTCGTGATGGTATTCACAAGTGTACTGGCTCTGCAGCTGGGCATAGCCATGGCCTCACTACCCAGTATGCATGCCTGTATGTGGAGCCTCCCTACACTGATCTCCACACACACACACACCTTGGATGCAGGCCCCTCACAGCATCCGTATGCTCATGGATGAACCCTCCAGACCAGCTACAGCCAGTGCTCAGTAGCCATAGGAGAGGCTGTACCATTGTGGTACACAGGGCTGTGCCACTGGGGAATGGAAGCAATGGGAGTCACAGGGAAGAGGAGGACACAGCACCATGGGCCACAGCACATGGCAAGAGGGCAGCACGTATACCAGGAGATAGGCCTGGGCTGGGAGGCAGCCTGGAAAAGGGGATGCTAGCAATGGGTCCATGTGACAACACTTGAAAACAGTGGTGTGTAATAGGGGCAGCCAGAGAGCACCCCTGCAAGAAAGGCATGTGTGTACCAGAGTGCCCATGCATTATGGGCACGTTAGAGGGTGGTGCAGACTGGTAACACATATGAATTTAGTATGTGCACATGTGTGAGAGCACCAGTGCAATGCAACACGCATGCAAGACAGCCCAGGCTACACAGACATGCATGTGCTCACGGAAGAGGTGCCTGGTCTCTGGGGCACTGCCAGCAGTGCCAGGAGGGCAGGGTGAAGATGCTATGGAGAGGGTGCACCAGTGCCAGTTACCGGTGGGTGTCGTACTGGGGAGGGTTGGCACTGGGTATTACTGGGGGGACAGCACAGGGAGGGCTGGAAGTAGTGATTACTAGGGGTATGGCAGGAGGGGCCGGCACTGGTGGCTGCTGGGGAACGACGCAGGCGGCGCCGCCGGTGGTTATGGTGGAGGCAGCACTGGTGGGTATGGGGACACTGCGGCGGGGCGCGCGGCCGTTTCGGGGGCGGCGCCGGCGGTTTCGGGGTACGGCTCGGGGCGGCGCCGGCGGTCGCTGCGGTGCCGCGCGGGGGCGGGGGCGCTGGGCGGAGCCGGGCCGGGGGAGGACCGGGCGGCCGTCCCGCCCCCCCGCGCTGCGGCCGGGGCTCGGCCCCGCTCGGTCCCCCGGCGCAGGGAGCCGGGCCGGTGCCAGGGCTGGTGCCCGGGCCAGGGCCGCAGTCCCGGGCGCTCCTGCGTCGGCCCCGCCGCCATGGCCCATTTCTCGGCGTACCTGAACCCCGTCCTCGTGCTCTTTAGCTGCGACCTCTGCTTGGTGCGAGCCAGTAAGTGCCGCCGGGGCGCACGGACGGGCGGCGGGGGACGGGTCGGGCCGGGCCGCGCAGAACACCGCTCGCTGCCGCGGTGCCCGGGCGGCGGGCGGGGGCTGGCGCTCGCCAGTGCCGGGCGCCGTCCCGTGTGTCCGCCCTGCCGCTCTCCCGGCCCCGGCCCGGGACGCCGCGCGCCAGCCCCCTCCTGCCGGCCTGCCCCCCTCGGGACTGGCGTTCCCTGTCCAGCCCGGCACGGGGCGCGCGTGGCGGGGCGGCCCCGCATGGCCTTGGCCGCGGCCCGAGGGGCCTGGCCCGGGCAGCCCTTGCTCCCCGGGACAGCCCCGCAGGGGCTGCGCCCTGCCCCGGGGTGTCGTGGTCTCTAAGCCATCCGTGCCTTCAGTCGTGTTGCATCCCCGTGGGACCGGGATGAGATTGTGTGGCGGTGCTGCCCTCCCTTAACGTGACACTAGGCTCTGCCGTACCCCAGGCGCTTGAGTTGCCGGCTGTGGCTTTGGCTTGTGAAGCCTGCCACTTCTGGGCTGGGCTGTCGGGGAACGCAGCCCCTCCTTGTTCCCCAGTAGAGGAGAGCATCCATGTTTCCCATCTGTGCTGCTCACCAATGAGCTCTGGGTCCTGAGAGAATGAACGCGCAAGGGCAGAGATGCTCCAGTACTGTACAATGGTCCACAAGCTGGCCTCTGATTGACAGACATCCCGGTGTTTCACATTGCAGCATGCCTTCATGCCTTGCTGACTTGCTTTCTCTAGGCTGGTGTTTGCTCAGAGACCGAGGTATGTCTGTACCCTAGGTACCTCTGTCCTTTCTTCCCTTGACTCATCTGAATAACCTGTGTCAGTGGCAGCCTTCTGGTATCTATTCACCTCTTGTCACATTAGTGATGCAGTAAATTGTCAGTATCAGGCGTGTTCTGATAACCTGCCATGGCGGAACTGGACTGCTTTATTATGTGCTTGGCTTTGTGTCCCTTGGCAATCTCCTTGCACAATATGAACTACGTGGCCTGCTGGATTCAGGTAGAAATGCAGTCAGGGTTGTTTAGAAGGGAGCACTTATTTTTAGTTGTGCAGTCTGATGCTTACTTCCCTGCTGCACAGATAAGTTGGACAAACATCTGTGTGCCCTTGAGCAGCAGTCCCAAGGGCAGTGGCCCAGGTGCATGTGAGTTCCTCCTCTCTGGAGTCAGAGCAAGATGGGAAAATGCCAGTGGGCCTGTGCCCCATCCCTGTGCAGAGCCACATCTGTCAATGCCACTCTTGCAGGGCATCTGTCCAACCCTTTCTCTGACCTACAGAGGCAAGCTGTGTGGCAGAGCTAGTCAAGTGCCCAGCTGTCTACAGGTCATCCCTCACTGCTTCCCAACCTCAGTCTTCAGTGCTGCCAACTCCAGTGCACAGGAGCAATTCTTCCCACCTCTTCAGTAGGCCTGAAAGGAATGCACTGCTGTACTGTCAGTAGAAAAGAGTGCACCAGGCCATAAGGTAGTGATTATTCTTTCTGTGGTGGTGCCCGATTCTGAATATGACTTTAATCAAAAGTGAAGCTGAATAACTTATAAATGATGCAGAATCATTAGCAATTAATGTATTGTTCAGGGCTTAACTGTGGCATGCTTGTTCCTAAAGAACCCAGCAGAGAGCTGGAGGATCATGGCTTTACAGAAATGTTTTTAATAGTTGATATCAGAATATATATATTTTTAGAGCCCTTGTACTCGCAGATGTTTATGGCAGCAGCTCTGGTATGAGACAGCTCTAACCTCAGCTGTAGAGCAGACAGGAGAACATAGGCTTCATGTGGGGATCGCATGCAAACTTCTTGTGCAGGCTGTCCTTTGGAGGTCTTGTCCTAATGACTGTCATTGAGTTATTTTGTATCTCCTTGGGGTTAATCATTGTCCTCTATTTCCAGGGTGACTTTCTGTAGTTTCAGCTTCTGAAACTTCTTGTCCTGTTTCTTTCTGCTAGATGTACAAATCCCACATGCTTATAATGTCTTCTCTGCAGTTTGCTGAACTGTGAAATGACTAAGTGACGTGGATTTTTCCAATGAAGAACTGCAGCCTGGATGCCTTCAGATCTCATTGTCACACAGGTTCTCAGGTCCACTTGCCTGGAGCCTGCACTCACTGTGTTTGCAATGCATGAGGTCTGAAGCACTGACTAGCCATGTGCACTGTGGCTCTTCCATGCCTGTATGTCCTCTTGCTATCCCCTCTCTCCCTTTTGGCCATATGGGGACTGGTTCTGGGAATTACAGCAGGACGTTCTGGCTTTGGGTGTACTCCCTTGGTAGTTTGACACAAGGGTGGTATCCCCCCTGGGGCACTCTGCTGCTACCAGTAAGAGTCCCAACAAAGGGCCTGTTTAAGCTCTGTCTAGGTAGAACTTCATAGAATGTCCTGAGCTGGAAGGTACCCAGAAGGATCATTGAGTCCAACTCCTGGATCTACATAAGTCTGAGTAATAATTAAACCATATGTCTGAGAGCTTTCAAATGCTTCTTGAACTTCAACAGGTTTAGCTCCATGGCCACTTCCCTGGGGGATCTGTTACAGTGCCCAACCACCCTGTCATTGAAGAACCTTTTCCTGATCTGTACCTCCCTTGACACAGCTTCATGCTGTTCTATCAGTGGTCACTAGAAAGAAGAGATCGGCACCCGTCCCTCCACTCCCCCTCATGAGCCTTGCTGGCTGACAGGGTGCTATCTGCAACTTAGCTGTTAGTTGTACAACACTTGCACAGTGGTCATGGCTGGACCAGAAAACAGAGCCCATCTGTGGTGAGCTCAGCCCTTGTGTGCACAGGATACACATTCCTCAGTCAGTGGGCTATGTATGTCTCAGGACTGCAGCTCTATTCAGCCTGTTTTGCTTTTGGCTTCTGGGAGACCAGAGTGTGCAGACAAAGACATGGCTCAGTGACTCCCTCTCATGGGGTGGAGTGATGAACAGGACCCCACTGACAAAACTCTAAGGAGACACACTTTCATGGGATAAAGGATATTCAAGGGAGTCTTTAAAGCCTTTCCTGTTTGTCAGCCTTCTGTTCTGATGAGATGACACGGAATACTATGATGTCCTCATTTGCATTGTCTCCTGTGATTATACCTCCTGGTATAATGCAGCAGGCTTCTGCTAGGGAGGCACTTGCTCCCAGTGTCTCTCTGGGATCTGTGTGTGACTGTCCTGGCTGTCTTAGTTGTCCTTGACAGACCATAATCCTGCATGTTTCAGAGTGGTAATTGCAATTTTCCTGGTTAGATCTGCCCAGGAGCAAGATATATTCAAATGTGAATGAATGCATTTCAGTGGTTGACCTGTAAAAAATGACCTTTCCTAGTCACTCCTACGTTTTTTTGTTGGTGTTGTTATGGTGGTCTTTTTCTCCTGTTTCCAAATCCCCCCTGGGGCTCTTTGTTTACCTGTGTAAGTCACAGCATTGAACCTGTACTACACAAGCAGCTTGTAGAAGGACACTGTTGTGTTTACTGTGAGAGAAGACACAGGAACAGCAACTTCACTGTCTTCCTTACACACTCATGTATTTAATTTCTAGACAGAACTTGTCTATGTGTGCAAGTCTGCCGACCTTTGAAGAATTCTGCCATGTTCTTCTTAGTGCTATGAAATCTCAAATTAGCAATGGTGCAGGCCATGGGTCAATCAGACCACCTTTCTGAAGAACAGCAATAGTTAAGTGTTGTTATCGGCTTTACAGCTGATGGCATTGCATTGCTGGGAAAGTTAGCTCTGCCCTCTATGCTGGGCTCTCCTCCCCAGCTTAGAGCAGGGGGTAATACCAGGCAGATGAGATGGCCAGATTGAGTTCCATAGTGTGTTTATTCCAAGCTGTCCCATTTTTCTGTCACAGTTGATATATAAATACTGTGTCTGTGCTGCTTCCTACGCAGTTCTGGATGGTGTGCCAGGCATTGGCGATGTGCACATCCACAGAGCAGCCCCAGAGCTTGGAGAAACCTCATTTCACTATCACAGTCTTGGTTCAAGAATTGCATTAATGTAAGATTTGTTTGAACTCTGAACCCTACAAAAACATGAGACTTAACTGCCAAGAAACTACTCTGTCTGGGCTGAGCAGCAGCATGTTGTGTCAGGCAGCCCTGCTTTTTGCTGCTGCTGAAGCTGAATGCAGTAAGCTTTCTAACAGATGAAAAATTGAGCAGCAGTGTCCTACTCAGCCCTGAAGGTACCTCAGATCTGCAAGCAGCTGCCCTCATGAAAAGCTGATGTGAATGCCATTGTTCCCTCTGATGGCAAAATGTCTGCAGTGCTCTGCGACAGCCTACAGAGGCTTTTCCTTTCATTTAATTTTGAGCTGCGGGATCTGGTTAAATTGCAATAAGAATCTCCTAACCTAGTCTGTAATAATTTTTTGCTCAGGACAGGCCTTCATGCATTTCCCGTCATGATGTCTGCAAGGTGGAAGGAGCCTACCAGAGTCCCTTCATGTCCTGTGCTGAGTCTGGCAGCACAAGCATGTGGTCAGCACGGCTAATTTCATTTACATGGAACATGTAATACAAGCAATGGGCTGTGTCTGCCATTGCAAGAAAGCCCTTTATAGAAGAGCCAATCAAATGCCTCATGAGCTTGTCCTCTTTTCCCACTATAGTGCAGTGCAGAGGGTGGGGTGAGCAGTGAGCACATTTCTCACCAACAGCCAGGTAGAGAGGTGACTGGACAGTGAGCAACGACTAACAAAGCCAGTAGGTGTCATACAGGGGTAGCTGCACAGGAGTGGCTCTGTGCTGCACCTGCTGCACAGTGGGCAGCTGCCCGCTAGCCCAGGGAGCACTGTGCAGTGTGTGTGTTGCGGGACTCAGTCTTGTTGACCTGACATGACCCTCCTGTCCTGGGGAAAGATTCAAGGGAGGAACTGCTCCCTGTAGCCCTGGTCAGCATGCTGCAATGGGCAGCTGTTGAATAAGACCCCCATGATGGTGTGCAGGGGTAGGTGCCTTTTCTGAGAGATCTTCTTTTGCCTCTTTCATGTGCTTTGCCTCGGTCCCTCCCTGGCTCACCCAGACAGGCCACCGTCCCCTGTCAACGTGACTGTGACGCAGCTGAAGGCAAACTCTGCCACAGTCTCCTGGGATGTTCCAGAAGGAGATGTGGTCATCGGCTACGCCATCTTACAGCAGGTATCCAGGCTTTGTTCCCAGTAGTCTGGGGGCTATTCTCACTGATTTACCAACATGCTCCTGTCAGCCCTTTTGCTGCAGCTTGGAGCTCCTTTGGCACATGCCTGAGGACACCTCCACTGTTGAGCAACGTTTGCTGGGGTTCCCTGTCTAAGCCATCTATGCTGAGGGTGGTGGGGAGGGGCACAGCAGACTGTGGGCTGTATTGTGGAGTGGCTATCCCTCCAGTGGCTTCTCTGCGATTTCTTTGGATGAGGACAGTGCTCCAGCCACAAGATAACCCTTCCTTGCTTGCCTTGCTCCACCTCCACAGCCCCAGGTAGTGGTGAGTTCTCCAGGGAGGCACTTGGCTCTTTGGCCATGCAGGGATGCTGTGTAGCAAGGTGCTAGCCAGTCTGGCCCATCCCAGGGGTGTATGACTGGAAGGAAGGAGCAAGAGCACTGTGCCCAGCACAGCCTTGCAGATGGGGGCCTGTGTGTGGTGCAGCTGGGAACAGCCTCCTGGGGATGACAGCTCTTCACTCTGGCAGCGGCAAGATGGACAGATGCAGCGCTTCATCCGGGAGGTGAACACCACCAACCGGGCCTGCGTGCTGTGGGACTTGGCAGAAGATGCTGATTACATCATCCAAGTGCAGAGTATTGGCCTGTATGGGGAAAGTCAGGCCAGTAAGCGTGTCCACTTCCGGACCCTGAAGGAGACCGACCGCCTCCCCTCCAACAGCTCCAACCAAGGTGAGGCAGCTCCTTCCAGTTTGCCCAAGTGCCACTGGTGGAGGCAGACTTGGAGGACTCCACAGCACACAGGCAGGGATTCAGCAACCAGTGAGCGAAGTTCTGACCTCGGTAGCCAGCTGCCTGGGATGCACAGGGTCATACGGGCTGCTGTTGTGTTTACCATGACCATGGTGAAAGCCCAAACAGTGCTTTATAGCCCTCCTGTCCTAGATCTTGGCAACCTGTTCAGCTGAGCAAGCTAGTACATCCAAACTGCTGCCCATAGGAAGTAAATATTGAATTGTCTCTCAGATCTACCAGCCTGCAAGCTACCAAAGGACAAATAGGAGAACCCCATAGTCTCCTTTCCTCTTCATACCCATGTTGTGCCTTTTGCCTTGGGATTGCCTAAATGTTGGCCATTAATCCAAGAGAGATGACACACAGGGTGGGTCCATCAGGCCTGGACTCTCTCCAGCACTAGCCATGAGTGGATAACAGGGCAAGCAGATGAGATGCTTTCCTCAGGACTTTTTTTCAGCTCAGGGCCTTCCTAAGCAGCCCTGGTCCCTACATAGAGAGTAACCTTCGTGGGCTTCTCTCACATGCATTGTGTAGTCCCTATTTGAACCCACACAAGCTTTTAGACTCCCTGACCGTATTTGGCAGCAAGAATGGTTTGTCTGACACAGGAAAACCATAGGTTGCATGTCTTCTCCCCAGTCAAAATATCATCCCATGCCTGTTTGCAAGGGGGATGTGGGCCTCTCTTTGTTGCTCCTTCTCAGATCCTTAACTGTTGATGGTCCTGAGATAGGGTCTGGTAGGAGGGTGACTGCTCCCTGCTGCCTGGGTGCTCTTCTCCACAGGTGACATCACCATGGAAGGGCTGGACAAAGACAGGCAACTGCAGACAGGCGAAATTATCATCATCGTGGCTGTGCTTCTCATGTGGGCAGGTGAGTGCTGCAAGCAATGTTCTGGCAGGCTGTAACAGAGGCATAGTCTAGGGTGTACAGAGAGGATGGGGATTGGAGAGTGCAGAGGAATAATGGCAATGTTTCGGGCATCCTCCTTCCTAGCAAGTCCATTGAGCCTCTGTAGGAGCTTGAGCCAGTGAGGTGAAAGAAGGAACAACAGCCACTGCTGACCAGTGATGGCCTGAAGCATGTGTGCAGGCTAGCCTGCCTGCTGTCCTGCAAGAGCAGGAGACGATGTGGGACCCAAGCAATACGTAATGGTGTAGGAGCATCACAGTTGACATTAACTATTGTGTAACTTGGGTCTTATCTATCTTGTTTGATATTGTGATAATATTGCTCCATTGGCTGGTAGTAGCTGTGCCTCAGTCTACTAAAACTGTAACACTTGTGAGCTATTTCTGTACAGCAACCAATTAAAGCCAGTGCCCCAGGAATGAGCAGGCTGCCCTGGGAGCAAGGAAGCCTCAGATGAAACAGGAGGCTCCTGACACACTACATGGGGCTGTTGTGAATGGGAAATCATTTGTCCCCTACCTTCTTCCCAGTAAGTGAGGATTTTCAAGTGGCATCTTGCAGAAATCTCTCCTCATCCTGGCCTTGAACACTCTTCTAGTGCACTGGAAGAAAATGCAAGATGGCTGCTGCTAACTGCACACCTCATGCAGATTGTTGTATCAGAGCACCAACAGTGAGAAATCAGATCCAGGTGGCTGTGATAACACCCTGTAGTTTGAATGGGTCCAACACATTTAATGATTGCAGTTTAAAGCATTGCTCCAAAGTCCTGTGCTGATGGTCATAAGATGTGAGGCATGCAGTGCACAAGGTGCTGTAGAATCCTGACAGAGTGATCCACAGTTTGCAGGGCAAGAAAAAAACAAGGGTTGACTTTTGTGAGGACTGCAAGCATCAGGCCAGTAACATCAGTGCCTTGCTGGAGGCACTCAGCACACTCAGCTGCTCACTGACCTAAGGGGCTATCCCTCTCAGAGTGCCTCAACATCTGCTTTTGGCCACAGAGCACTGAGCCATGCTTATGGTTGAGCACTGAACACCTCACATACTTCATGTGTGCCCTGATAGCTTCAGCTGCATCTTTGCCTTGTCTGCCCAAGGAGATTGGCCTGGCCACACTTGCTGAGTTTTCTGGAATAGCAGTCCAAGCTGGAACAGGTGGAGGTTGTGGGTGACCAGCACCCTGGGTGCCTTGGTCCTGACTGCTCTCTAGCCGTAATGTCATGGGGAGGGGAGGCAGAGGGCAGCCAATGTGAGGGAGTCTTTCTTCCCTCCTCTTTCTGCAGCGGTGATCGCCCTCTTCTGCAGACAGTATGACATCATCAAGGACAATGATTCCAACAACAACAAGGAGAAGACAAAGCCATCCTCAGAGCATAGCACGCCAGAGAGACCAACTGGAGGGCTGCTGCGGAGCAAGGTGAGTGGGGAGGGCTGGCATTTGACATCTGCTGTGTCTTAGTGCCTGGACAGGTTCTCACTCTCTCCAGGAATAGAAAAACCCCAGCTTATGCTCTCACCCTAAAAACTGAGGACTGCATTGAGCCCTGGCCTCTCTGGGACAGTCTATATGCCCCATGGGTGACTGCAGGAGAAACACCAGTAGAGATGGCAGGATATATCCGTTGGGATGGCTCCCATATGGCAGAATGTTATCTGTCCTCTTGCTGTAACAGCCAATGCCTTGGCCCATCACCATGCCTCTCTGAAGCTACACCTCTTCTGCATCCCATAGAGAGGTCCAGGTCCTGTCTATTCAAGCAAAAGGCAGCTGAGTTGATCAGCTTTCTTAAGATTCCGACATTAGTCTCTCTCTGCTAGCTTTCAGCCTTCTCCAGGGCCTTCTCCAGGCCATCACCACACAGGTCATTCATAAGAAAGACTCCAGAGCTTCTTCCTCACCCTGATGGAGGTACTGTGCCAGGCTGTGGATGGGGATGGACCAGTACTTTCATGTGGCTGTTCCCTTAGCACCTGACACTTCTTTGTTACTCAACGAAGACTGATTTATAACCCTGATACTTGTGTTCTAATGGGACCTTGCATTAGGTTTTTCCTATGGGTCTCATTTGCATCCTCTGTCCATAGTGCGAACTCCATTCAACATGGTGCCTACCGGCTCATCTGCTTTTATGTATCATTGGTTTCCAGGTGATGCCAGGGCAGAAACTTCCTGTTTGGATTTCAAGGGCCCAGTTTTCTCTCCTCTTTCAGGTTTACCAGCTTCCTGGTAAAACTCCTTGCCAAAAATACCCTTCCTCTTGGATTCTCCTGCTCCAGACTCACCCTAATTCAAAAGTGGGTGCACAAGCCCATTCTTGTTGTTTGCTAATTTCATCACCTATACAGGGCTGAAGCACCTCATGGTGTCTTTTTGAATTCACTAGATTCTTGGGATGCTTGCAAGTGATAACACTGCATGTTTATCCTCATGATTCTTAATTACAAAGCTGGGAACAATGCACAGGAAAGAAAAAGCAGTGACATCATTATGCTCTGCATTTGCTTCCACTCCTGGCTTCATGGTCAAGCTGCCGTAAAGTAGCAGACAATCACAGAATTGTAGGGGTTAGAAGGGACCTCAAGAGATCATCGGGTCCAACCCCCCTGCCAAAGCAGGTTCCCTAGAGCGGGTTGCCCAGGTAGGTGTCCAGACGGACCTTGAATATCTTCAGAGAAGGAGACTCCACAACCTCCCTGGGCAGCCTGTCCCAGAGCTCCATCACCCTCACCGTGAAGAAGTTCCTTCGCATGTTGGTGTGGAACTGCCTGGGCTTCATTTTGTGGCCATTACCCCTTGTCCTGTCCCCGCAAACCACTGAAAAGAGGTTGGCCAAAGCCCTCTGCCTCCCACCCCTCAAGTATTTATACACATTGATGAGATCCCCTCTCGGTCTTCTCTTCTTAAGGCTGACCAGCCCCAGGTCTCAGCCTTTCCTCACAGGGAAGATGCTCCAGGCCCCATCTCATCTTTGTGGCCCTCTGCCGGACTCTTTCCAGGAGATCCCTGTCTTTTTTGTACCGGGGAGCCCAGAACTGGACACAGGACTCCAGGTGAGGCCTGACCAGGGCAGAATAGAGGGGGAGGATCACCTCCCTTGACCTGCTGGCCACACTCCTTTTTATGCACGTCAGGATCCCATTGGCCTTCTTGGCCACCAGGGCACAGTGCTGGCTCATGGCCAACCTGTTGTCCACCAGGACCCCCAGGTCCTTCTCTGCAGAGCTCCTTTCCAGCAGGTTGTCCCCCAGCCTGTACCGGTACATGTTGTTGTTTCTTCCCAGGTGCAGGACTCTACACTTGCTCTTGTTAAACCTCATTTGGTTTCTTCCTGCCCAGGTCTCCAGCTTGTCCAGGTCTCGCTGAATGGCAGCACAGCCTTCTGGTGTGTCGGCCACTCCTTCCAGCTTTGTGTCATCGGCATACTTGCTGAGGGTTAACATTATTCCCTCATCAAGGTTGTCGATGAAGATGTTGAACAGGACTGGACCCAGCACCGACCCCTGGGGAACACCACTAGTCACAGGTCTGCACAATGCAGTTCTTGATGTCCCTGTTACAAAGTATAGTGATGGGGACATTCACCTTCTTCCCCTTAATTCGGTGGGTAAGGGCTGCCCTACAAATCACATACAAGTCTGACTCCATCCCTTCCCAGTGGTTTCTCTGAGTGCACATATCTGCTGTGCTATTCAGTGAGCACGGTCCTTTCAGTGTAAAGGACTGTTCATGCTTGCAACAGTTTTTGAAAAAAATCCACCTCACTACAGGTAGCCTTTAGTTCCTTTGTCACTCTCCAGAGCTGTTGCAGGGCATAACAGTGAGACAGCTTGACATAAGCTGGCCATATCTGTTCCTCCATTCATCATGCCATGCTTTGTGGATTCTCTGCCCATGGCAGGTGTCCTCCCACACCCTCACGTACCTTTTCTCCTCTGAGCCCTGTATCTACCTTCTCTCCAAGGGCCGCAGTTGTAGCATGGGGTGGTGGTTCAACAGTGGCCTGCTAAGAACCTCTACACCATATTGGATTGGATGTACTGAAATTTACATGGCAAGGTTTTGGTAGTGGGGGTGGCTTCTTGTGAGAAGTGCCCAGAGGCTGCCTCATGTTAGGTAAGAGCCAGTTTTAGTCAGCTCAAAATGGGACCTGCTGCTGGCCAAAGGTGAGACCAGGTAAATCTAATACACATGACTAGGAACCAGACAGAAGTCACCAAACATCTGCAAGCCCTGGAGGCTGAGGAGTGTGAGGCTGGGTCCCTGGTTCTCCTAGGGGTACTAGGGCACAGCAGTGATCAGAAAGGCTTCCTGGGGAGGCAAGTGTGGTGTGGCTGATGAGACTTACTTGGAGTGAGGCAACAGCTAATGCAGCTGAGCTACCTGAACCTTCTGTCAGGAGAGATTAATGCAAATAGGTGGGGCTTAAGGGTTAGTTCCATTGGTCTCCTTAGGGAGACACTGAAAGCAGGTCTCTGCTGCAGCACACCCACACCTCAGCCCACATCAGACATCTCAGCTGCAGCTGGCACCCCTTTTGCAGAAGAGGTGTGCCTGCCATGGGAGGGTGGGGGCTCTGCCATGGGGTCTGCATCTCAGGTTCTTAGCAAAGCATTTTTTTCTCCCATAGAAGTCTCCCTCTGTCAATATAATCGAGGTATAAGTGCAGCACCAGCTCTGCGTCGGGGGTCCTGGGCATCCTGCCAGAGCCGATACAGGCCTTGGAAGAAGAGGCAGCACCAGGCACCCAGCCTGGAACTCTGCATGCGAAGATCTGCGTATCCGAACTTACGCTTTCCCGAGGGCACCTGTCCAGGGACATGCATGGAGCTGGCTCCCAGCTGTGCATGCAGCACACGGCCCTGCCCGTCCCGCATGCCAGGCCCCACTTCCCTGCCACTGTGGAGTGCGGAGCTGAGCAATGGAGTGGGGGGGCACACCCTTACCCCAGGGGGGGCAAGCCTGGGAGAGTAGAGGGGCTGGTGTCCCCTCCTGCTCACAGCCCTGAGGAGAGGCAGCACCCCTGTACTTTGGCTTGGCCAATGGCCTGGGTGCAGCCAGGTGGCACCAGACTCCTGCTCAGGAGATATCCTGGGGCAGACCTTGCTCTCAGCCACTGTGTCAGCCTGGGGGTGGGGTGGGGGGGTGCAGGAGCTAATCCCCTTTTGGCCCCAAGACAGGGGATGGGGCAGCGCAGGTGGCCCCAGTGCTGCCAGGGAAGTCATAGAGAGGTGGCAGCAGGGTTTGGGAAGTCATGGAGAGGTGGCGGGAGGGTCTGTCTGTGGGGCTGGGCACACCTAGTACAGCTGACGAGGGGATCCCTGATGGAGGACAGGCTTCACTGCACCCCATCACTGCAGTGCAGGGGCTTCCCATACCTCTCCCTGTTGCAGTGCATGAAAACTCAATTGAGAGCATGAGGAGCTAGTGCTGCCACAGTGTCCGATTGGGCTGCAGAATGTGCAGCCAGGGCAGTGCCAGTTGGAGTAATCCTGTGGAGTGCAGTGAGCCTCACAAACCTATGGGAGCAGGCAGGGCCAGTGCACGGCTGTGGCTTTGCCATTTCCCTAGTAGGGCTCACTGTGAGCAATGCCGTGTGCACTCCATGGATAATGTGGAGAGCCTTAGCCTGGTCACAGCTGTTTTGGCAGGCTGTGTGCTGCAGAGCTCATCACCACTCTGGGGACAACCTTAGCTTCAACAGTGTCATGTCCCGCTCCTGGCTTCTGTCCTGCAAGTGTGCAGTCACTGCTGATACTCCCTCTTCTGGAGCTAGCCCCATGGCCTGCACCAGACTGGCTGATGCCACACAGACCTGTTGGGAGGGTTTGGCCATGAATACCCACAGCTGTTAGATCTTTCATTCAACTGAAGATGGTATGAGTTGTTAACCATCTTAGGGCTGGTTAACAGTATCTGGATTATTTGTTTCCTGGTGCCTGCAAGCAGAAGTCTGTTACTGGGTATCTATATTACTTTGTGTCCGAGGGTGAGGCCTGGCCCAGCTATGCCCTCTTGCCAGAAGCAGGGGAAACAGAGTGACATGATGAGCCACTCTGCTACATGGGTAGCTGGTGCCCTGGCTGCTGCACTTCCCTCCATGCTCTGTTCTGTGGCTGGTCACTGAGCTGGGGTGCTGGCTCTGCAGCCCTGGACTCAAGCATCACAGGATCCAGCGTCTTCCAGGAATAAACCTTCCAACAAAGCACTTTCAGGACTCTTCCTTCCAGGTGCTGCTCAGCTCCTGCTGCAGGACTAGACTGGGAAGGGACAGGGTAAGCAACTTCCTGTGGCAGGGTCTTTTCAATAAAAGCATCCTGGCTCAAACGTTGCAGCATTGTCCCTGCAGCATTTCAGGTCTGTGCATGTGTGTATGTGCATACATGTACCATTACTTGCACTTATGCATGTGGCCTTTAGGAGACCTGTTCTTGCCAGCTGTGTAGAGGGGTTATCATATGTTCTGCAGCAGGTCCTCATCTTGCACTTCTCTCTGGCCTTTGAGGGAGTGCCAATGTTGCAGGCTGGCTCTTGTCATGCTTCTGGACAAGTTGCAGGTAGGTGCAGGACAGTTACGCATTTTCTGACTGAGGATGGCACCACAGCTACTTCCTCTTCACAAAATGGGCTGCAGAATGCAGGCATCCTGGAAGCAGGGCCAGGAAAAGGAAGATGATGCCAGATCCCAGCAGGCTACTGGCAGGAGAGGACTGTGCTGTTCCCCAGGCAGGTGAGGAGAGGGATACCTGAAGAGCAAAAGCACCATAGTCGTGAGGGCCAAGTGCTGCTGTGCTGGACAAGCCATACTGCTTTGCCAACTACCTTTTCGTTAGAGAAGTACATTTAAAAAAAAAAAGTACATTAGGAAAACACAAATGTTTTTTTAAATCTCTGATGCACTGGAAAATGTTTATGCAATTCTGGAGGCTCAGAACGGACACACACCTACTAACTTGAGTTCTTTAAACAGATGAGGTGCACAGAAAGAAACAAAGCAGCATGACTGCAGCAGAGTCAAGGAGGTGGGGGGATCCTCTTCCCACTCCCCCCCCAGAAAAAAAAAAAAAATTACCTGACAGCAGAGTAGAGCCCGCTACCCCCCCAGGTGGCAGAAGATGGTGAAGAAAAGTTATTCACAGGGTGAGCAGAGGGTCACTGAAACAATCAGCATGTTCTAGCATTAGCTGCGGCACTCCACTATAGGATTGTGTAGATGCCAAGCAAAGGTTCAGTACACGGCAGGAAGCCACTTCAAGGGCTGTTAAATCCACAATAACATCAGGTCAGCCATCCCTCGGTGCAGAAAGATAAGGACCTGACAACAACCCACTCACCCTAATGACCCCAATAATGGCTACAAATTGCCCCATAGCCTCAGCTGTGGGAAGAAAGGCATGAGACTAGGACTCAAACATGCAAGACTAGAAGTGGGGAAAAAAAAAAGTGTGCATGGACTCAATCCTCCCCAGTGCACCACTATAAACCTTCCCCACAGCACCTGCTTAAAGCACATGCTGGGAAAACAGCTCTGCCACCTCAGGCTGCAGGCAGTAAGTCCCTGCTCAGTCTGCCAGTGTCACCAGCCTTAGAAGGGGACATGCACTGTGATGTGACAGTAGTCCAGCAGCAAAGTCCTCAGCTGGGAAGCAGCTGCAAACCTGGTGCTTGCCAGAGAAACCAGGCATCCTGCTGGCTGCAGCCTCCCCTGCTCTATCTGGGGAAGGAAACAAGAGTGTGTAACTTGCCCATTTCTCCAGACCATAGACAAGTGTGCAGCAGGGCAAGAGCACCCCGAAACAGAGCAAGCACAGAGGTGGGAGAGGTTGAGACCTGCTAGCACACGTGGAGCTTGTATCCTCCTTGGCCTCAGGCAGGATCAGCTGTGAACTCCCATTGTGCAGATGACATTCACTGGTGCCCAAGATTCTCCAATCCAGCGCAGCCTGGACCAGATTCTTCCCAGATAGCAAGGTTAAGGCCACCCCAGGCCCTTGAAGCCCTTGGCACAGGGGAGATAGCTCCCTCAGGGCAAGCAGCTAAGAAAATAGGAAACCCAGTGCAGCTGCAGGCTCCCTGACAGATAGCACAGGCCCTTGCCACCAGACAGGAAGCTTCGCTGTAGGTAGCATAGGGAACATGGTACTTCACATGCTTGCACAAAGCCTCCATCCAGCACTCAAACCCAAATGACAACAGTTTAAAAAAACAAAAAACAAAAAACTCCACACCTCAGTTTATTTCCCTACAAATGCAGAGCTTTCCTTTAAAAGCCAGCCAGTTTCACTCATGGGATGGTGTAGGGCTGAACTGCAGGGAAGAGCTCTTCTGGCCAAGAGCTATAGCTCCCTGAGGTTCATATACAAGTTCAATTTGCTGAGTAAGAACCCCCCCCCTCCACAGACATAGCAGGCTGCTCAGCCTCAACGGGTCCCCAGTTGTTACTGTGAGGAGCAGTTGGATACACAGCTCTGGGTGCATTGGCTACATTCTACAGGCCCAGGGCAGGCGGGGAGTGGGCAGAGTGGGGAACACTGGTCCAACAGCCTTAAAGGGGAACAAGGAGCAACTGCAGTTCAAGGTGGTTCATGCAGGTGGACAGCACAAGGAGCGGGTGTTGCAGTCTGCGCACCACATGGCAGTTGTGTCAGTAGCCCCTGCGCCTGGGGACAGTGCAGGGAGCAGGGACAGGCACTGGCTTGCCTGGGTGTAGGCACAGGGTGAATCCTGAGTGGCTGGTCCATTGCTGCAGAGACTTGGCTTAGCCCAGGGTAGCCTTGGGGCCATCAGTCCCAAGGCCAGCTGTGGGTGGGACTCCAACCCCTCCCAGCCCCTTCCAGCAGCCTGGGGGTTGCCCCAAACAGGGCCAGCTCAGCGGTAGCTGCACAGTAGGCAAGTTCGGTCTGGGCACAAGAGGTGTCAACTCTGAAAAGCAAGAAGGAGGGAGACCTGGTCCATGAGGTTTGCAGTTGGGAACCCAGCCAGGGAGGGGAAGCAGACTTACCCAGGTGAATTGTTATCCCCCTCCCTCTGCAGAGGACGTGCTGGGGGATGTGGCAAAGCAACACAGAGGGAAGGAGCTTACCTGCTGGGCTGTGGACTCCCCTCCCCAGCTCCTCCATGCAGCTTTGGAAGAGAACAGAACACCCATCACCGCCAAGCACCTGCTGAGAGACCCATGCTCATGACCTTCAGCAGAATAGGCATGGCATGGAACAGCAGTTACCAGGTACTCGGACTGCAGAAGGCCCTAGGCTCCTTGCTACAAAACCCTTTCTGCAGGCTAGCCCATCCTGAGACTGCACAGCTGTATCTCCTTCCTATCAAGAATCCCCCTCAGACAACAGGTGGCAATATCACAGGAACACATAAAGAGGTTCAGCCTGTGCACGTGCTGTTTCCAAGATGACACCTGCTCAGCACAGTTCCAGCCTGACAGTACTGCCAGACCCATCAGGCACTGGTTTGACAGCTGCGTGAGAACAGCCGTAACAGGAAAGGCTGATCAAACCCACCACCACAAGCAGCTCTGCAAAAGACCGCTGGGTTAATCCTCTGTTTATGTACCATCAGCTATTCTCAAGCTCAGTCACAGGCCCTAGTCCAGAGTCCACATAACCAGGCCTCCATCTTGGTCCAAGCCCCAGGGAAATCAGTGGAAGGAGAGAGACAATTCTGAGTCCCACCTGAGAAGTATATCTGAATAGGATGGCCTTAGCAGAGTGGCAGAAACAGAACAGAAGACATGTCTGGGTACATCCTGAGGGTATGCATCTAACTCCCACTGCAGGAGCTGTACTGCCAGATCTGTCCCTTCACAGCTCAGCCCCCTGTACATTCAACATCTCAGCTGATAGAGGCAGAGAAAGCAGCAGATAACTCCCCCTTGCTCCCATGCAGATCTCCTCCAAGCTCCCACAGTGCTCATGGCTTCAGCAGCTCCCCTTGCATGGGACACAGAGAAGGAAATAAGACAGGGTTCATCATTGTGCTCCCTGTGCAGTAGCAGCAGCTCACCACCTACCCAGATAAAGTTTCATCAAGGTTTTCATCTTCCTCCTCCTCTTCCTCCTCCTTGCAAACAAAGAAACAAACAGGTAGGTCTCTACCAGGAGCCAGGCTGGGCTGCCCACAGCCTGTTCCAGAGCAGCAGGACTTTCCCCATTACCTTCTTCATAAGACAGTCACCCACCAGGCATGACATGGATAAGATGTGTCTATAAGCAGTAGGGGGGGAAATGGTGCCTGCTGTGCTGGGCTGCTGCAATCTTTGGGGCTCATACACACAGCCACACAAAGGGGAGAGACAGACCAAGGTTCTTCTCATGTTCCCCCAGCCAGCAGGGCACCAAACACAGGCTGTGAGTTGGAAATGAACCACCAAACTGAGACAGCTGCATCACACAGCTCGCCTTTACCCAGAGACAAGAGCAGGGTTAGCACATCTCCCAGCCGGAGGGCCAGGAGCAAGCCGCAAGCAAGGATGACCCCAACCACTACCAGGCTGTGCCAATGCTGGAAGCATGAGGTAAAGGAGCAAGCATCCAGAGACTCCTGGACAAGGCCACAATGAGAGAGACTTACAACACTGGGAATGCTTTGGCTGGCTCTGGACACGTAGTGGGTGCTGTGCAGATGAGCAGGGCTGAGCCTTATCCCAGACTGGCAAGATAATGACCAGACAAAGGCTACTCATCTCCTTGAGAGAGGTTGTGTCACCCCAAGCTATAGCACCAAGAGTACAGAGCAGGTTACAGCTCCCTGTTTGACAGGGCCAGCAGAGCAGGGCTGAGGGTTGCTGCAATGCTGGACCTGATAGGGGAGTTCCTGGAGCAAAGACCAGCCGAGGTTCCTGCCTTGTGAGCCAGACAGAGTACAGAGTGCCCCTTGTCATGTCAGGCCCCCATGTGCAAGGGAGGCTGTGAAAATAACAACAGGGTCCTGAAAGCCCAAGAGGAACGAGTTGTGTAAGGGTTACTCTTTTTCTTGCCCTAATGCAAGACAGGCCTGGGCACAGGCCAGACTTGCACATACTGTACCCTGAATTGGTGTCTGAAGGGAGGGCTCCCCGGGGGGGCTGGCTCACTTGCTCTGCCGGGTTCACTGTGCTCCAAGACACATGGAAGGTGAAGGGGCTGTTCCTGCCTAGAGCCTGGGACAGGGCAAAAGCAGCAGTTAGTGCCTGGAACCTGAAGAGGGTCTAGCAAGGAATGCAAAGACAGGACTGTGGACAAGGGACAGATAACCCTGCTGTGCTTATGGGACGATGCAGAGAAAAGTGGGGGAACACCACTCAAGGCAATTCCCACAGGGCCCTAAGATGTGCTATAGCTCAGCAATGCAGAGTTCAGCATGGACAGCAAGGATGTCCCCAGCCAGAGATAGGGCAGGCTCCCCACACAAGACAGTGGCAGAGAGCACAACAGCATGGACAATGATCTTCCTGGCTAGTGCATTTCACCAGCCAGGCAGCGAGCCATCTCTCCCCCACACAGCCCAAGACAGGGTCCCACACTAAAGACCCCAATCCCAAGGCTAGGCCGAGGGAAGTGTCTGAGAAATTCCTTCCTACCTGCATTTGCTGCTTCCCAGAGATCCAGCGCCATCTGGAAGGCCTGGGCCACCGTCAGAGTCACAGCCTGGGCCTGTGTACAAGAAAGAAGGAAAACGTCTACTTCCATCTCTGCCGTCAAACAAAGACAACACTGCTGCCCAGTGATCTGAGAGCCTCAAACTCTTCCTTGCTGCTTTTCCCTATGGAGCATGTATGTGGAAGGCCAGAGTTCAATGCTTTGTGAGCCAGCCATTCCCAAGAGGAGATCCCAGAGGAACTGTGACTGAAGAACTTTCTATTGCTCACCACCCACTTCTGCAGAATGTGAGGAAACATGCATTCCCTGTCTATTTCCAGCTAAGGTGCACAGAGATAAGGGTCTCCTCCCTCTGAAGGGGAAGAAGAAAGGGCCTTTTACCTCAAAGAACCAAGGGCAGAGGAGAAATGCTTACAATCTTCTTCTTGGGTGAGAGGAAGGCATGGCACTCCAGTGCCCCACTCTCCTGGCTCTGCGCAACGTAAGCAAAGATTTTGTTCTGCAGCTTGTCTGTTGTGCAGTAGGAGATCCTGTGGACAGAGAGTAGCTGCTCAGAGTAACAGGGGAACACGGCACAAGTCTTCTGCTCTTCTCCCAGAACACAAACAAGCATTGCTGACAGCCTGAGACTTCCACCTGTCCTGGATAACAGGCAGCCCAGCACCCCAGCAAGGATCAAAGGCTGCCTGGCACCTAGAACTCATAAGAGATCACTGCATCCACAGGTATTCCTCTCTCGTGTTGCCCCAGTGTGCTCTTTGGTCCTCTGATGCTCAATTCAAGTTGAGGTACAAACTCAAACACTAAGACAAAAAGAAAAACAGGTGATCACCTCCAAAAACACAACTGAAGGCCAGGCAGCATCTGCCTTAGCACATCAGCTCCTGTGCCGAGACCCAAATTTTGCACCAAGAATTTGTCCTGACCCTGCTTCACATCTTGCCACCAGCCTTCAGACATCCTCTCCTCACACACAGCACCCACCAACACCCAGTCCAGCTAAAGCACAATAGGCAGCAGTTAATAATAATAATAATGATAATAAAAACAACCATCTCTCCCAGAAACTGCCTTTAGCCAACCCATGTGAGCTGCAGGCCAAGGCACCCTCATTCCACTGCAGCCAGAAGGGCAGTCCTCTGGTCCTGTGTCAACAAAAAAAGGTAGACATGCAGTCCTGCCCTTGTGGTGGTGGCTTCCCAGCCACCAGCCCTGATCTGACATCCTGTTGAATGCATGATGCAGAAGAGACAAGCAGGGCCTGCAGAAAAGGCCAGACAGACTGACCCAGAACACAAAGCAATCCAGGCCCCTGCCTGCATTTAGACCCAAGCAGTGCTGTGGGGTGCAGCAGGGAGAGGGAGCTGGTCTCAGGGAGCCAACAGAAGACCTAAGGCACACAGTATTACTAACAGAAGGCCCATCCCACCCTAGCTCCTCAGGATCCCATCAGTCTCCTTCTGGCTGCTAGGGAACATCCAGGCCCTCGTACACACTATGCCCACCTGTAGATGGAGATGTTTTCAACAATCTCCTTTGTGTCTGCGTCTTGCAGCGAGATGCCCCTCGGAGACACTGTCAGAATCACCTTCTGGAACTTGCGAGCTCCCACCTGTGCCTGGCAGTGGGGAAACACCAGACACCTCTGCAAACCCAGTGAGGGCCTTCACCCCACCTTGTTGTGTCCCCCAGACTCTGTACAGAAAGCCACCCACTTGGACCCTCACTATAAAGGCAGGATCCTGCCTTTGGGGTAAGAAAGGAAAAAAATGGAGATCAGGCACAATCTTGTGTAGAACACCCCTGGAGTCCCTTCATGCTATTGCCATGCACGTGGGATAGGACAGATCCCACCTCCCCCAGCCCTCACCCTCCTCTCCATGCAGAGAGGGGCATAGCCCTGCTCCCAGCTGAATTCCCAGTGTGGAAGCAGGTAATGACAGCTGTCCTGCAGGAAGACAGCTTCCTTCGCAGCACAGAGATGGGGGACAGACAGCCTTGCACACCGCCCTCCCTTGGGAACAGTGCAGTCCCTAGCACATGGATGCTTTTTTTTTTTTTTTTTGGGGGGGGGTGGGGGGGAGGGAAGGGCTGGGGGCTCCAAATGGGCTCTTCTCTACCCCAGCACAGCAGGGCCCAGGACTGGCTCTCACCATGGCAATGATCCGGCGGATGGCAGCAGCTGCCATGTCTTCTCCTTTGGGTTTCTCTACCAGTGTCATGCCCAGATACTTCAGTGTGAAGCACATCCCCTCCAGCAGCGGCTCCTGCATATCAGCCCAGCTCTCAGGAAGCTCTGTAAAGAAAAAATGACTCAGCAGTAGAAGCCATGTACCATCAGCCACATGGCTAGTCCCAGCAGAACCACCCCACCTCACTGCAGCTTCAGTGCTCTGGGCAGCAGTGCTTCTACCTGCACTCACCAGGGTACTCTCCTCCTGGCTCTGTGACATTCTTGGAATAAGAACAGAATGAAAGGAGAGTTCACCCCTGAAGCTTTTAGTCCCCATTCCTGGAGGTACAAGCTCTGCCAGCAAAATAGTAAGCTCCTGCATATCTACATAGAGCCTCAGATGCTGCAGTGTTAAATGCTATCTGCCAAAACCTATCATTCACAGGTCTCTCTCGCTACAAGCAGCATGTGCTCTGTACTGTATTCATCTCATCATCTAGGCTTCATGCACACCTCAGAAACAGCAACATCAAACAAACAAACATCAAACAGATCAAAATCCCCAAATAGTCCTAGTGTAACCAAAGCCAAACTTCTGGTAGCTATTATCTACAGCAGCAGGCTGTCAGGAGAGGAGTAGTTTGTCCAGCACTCACAGTTGAAGCAGAGCTGGTTGGGAAACAATCACCCTATAAAGGCTCTGTGTTAAGGAAGAACTTAGACTGGCATTTCAAGGGTGCAAACTAGCTTCCCAAAAACATGTTTTATGGATGAAGTCCAAGACACTGAGGGAAGAGATCTCCCACGTGCATTTCTGTGGAGGTCACAGAATGGAAGGGGCACTCGTCTCTGGTTCCTGTGCTCTTTGTTTTGAAATCCTATTGCTGCAGTCAGAAATAAATAAAATAAAAAATAATAATTTAAAAATACTCTGACAGGTCCATGTCTTTCTTATGCTAGGGGCCTCAGAGATGAGCACAACATTCCAGGTGGGATCTCACGAGAGTGGAGTAGAGGGGGAGAATCGCCTCCCTCGACTTCCCTAGATTCCCTCTAGACAATCCTCAGCATGTCCAGTTTCCTTCAGAAACCAGTCTATTTCACCAGACAGGTAGTAGAAGGAGCCCAGTCAGTCCTGATAACACTATTACTGGTAGAAGACACACAAAACAAGTGCTGTTTTCAAGCTCTGAACCCATAAGACAAAGCCATTGTCTTCAACAGAAAGTTCACTCTCAAAGTAAGAGTCAAAGGCAAAAGCTGTATTTATCATGCTAGTACCATACACAAAGGAATGCTTCTCTCATACCGAGTACTTCCTTGTGATGCTTTCAAAGACAGCTGAAGCAGAAATCAGTTCATATTTACCTCCTCAAATCCTAAACAGCACAAGTATGGTAAGAGAAGAGACAAGAAGGACTAAGATGCAGGGAGCCATAGACTCCATCTTGTTCTCAGGGATTCATCCCACGAGGAGCAGGCAGCGAGCCTGGAACAGGACCAGAGAAGTTATGTGCGCATTAGAAAAACTGGATTTGAATGCTGCCCTGGGAATTGCCTAGGTATCTACTGTTCACACTAAGATAATACTTTTCAGGTTATTTTTCACCTCTTTCTTGGGATTAGCTCCCAGAAGATTACTGACATGCTTGAAAAAGCTCTCACTCATAATTGGAATAACCTGAGCCCACAGGGAAATCAAGAGACCTTATTTTTGCAGCACTCCTAAAATTACCAGGGAACCCACCTCGATACCATACAAGTGTCAGGGACCTCTCTCTCCCCTGGGTAAAAATCACTCTGTCTCACTGCAAGCTTTGAGAACAGCTCAAACATGCTAGAGGCTGCCAGAGCGAGCACTGCTGCCCCACTAAAGTGGCTGGGTAGCCGTGAAGGAGGAAGCCCACGCACTGCCCTCCTGCTGGGCCTGTGGGGTCAGCCTACCCAGGACCAGCGGGCAGTCACCCCATGGCGAGCTACGCACAGACCTGTCACTCACTGGGCATTTCCACACCGGCACAGGACCAGATGCAGCGGTTCAGGAAGACCAAACCTCACCCAGGCAGGAAACGGTGCGTGCAGATGGGGCACGCCATGCCCCGGCAGCACCGGTGCCACTGTCCGGGACAGCCACCCGCGGCCTTCCAACCCACCGGCACTCACGATCTCAATGACACCGCGGGGCAGGAGCCTGCCCGACGGGGACAGCGCTGCCAGGGCCGCGCGAACGGCCCGGCCCGGCCCGGCCCGGCCCGCCTGCAGCCCCACAGCCCCCGCGACCCCCACAGCCTGGCTCCCGGCTCCCCGGCCTCCGCCCCGCCCGGCGGGCAGCCGCGTCCCGGGCCCGGCCGGACCGAGAATAGCGCTCCCCTCTCCCCGCTCCCCGCTCCTCGCCCGCGCACCGGCACCGAGGAGGACCCGGACCCAGGCGCCGCAGCCCAGCCCGATGCCCGGGCCCCGCCCGCTCCCGGCACCCGTGGCCCGCACTCACTGCGCCGCCGGCAGAGCCCGAGGCCGTGCCGGGCGAGGCGCGGACTCCGCAGCACGGCGCGCCCCGCCGCCCGCAGCGCCTCCATGGCGGTGCCGAGGCCGAGCCCTGCCTGTACCGAGACGGCGGGGGCCGGGCCGGGCGGGGCGGGGCGGGCCGGTAGCGGGGGGGCGCCGTCCGCCGCCGGGTTCGGCGCGTTGACGTCAGCAGCGGCGGAGGCCCTGGGGTTGCCGGGGCAACGGGGGCGAGTTCGGGGGGGCCCGGCGGCGGCGCGGTCCCGTCCCGTCCCGTCCCGGTCCCGCTCCGGTCCCGCTCTCGGCCCCGCTCTCGGCGCGATGCAGCTGCGGCACGTACGGACGCTGCTAGCCCCGCAGGTCGGGCCGGGCCGGGTTGGGCCGGGGGAGGCCGGGGGGTCGGGGTGCGGCGGCGCCTGAGGCTGTGTGTGTCCCGCAGGACGGCACTGCGCGGGTGACCTGCATGGCCTGGTCGGCCAACAGCGGCCGCTTCGCCGTGTGCACCGCAGACCGGGTGGTGCTGCTGTACGACGAGCACGGCGAGCGGCGTGACAAGTTCTCCACCAAGCCCGCCGACGCCAAGGTGAGGGCCCCGGGACCGGGCTGCTGCCAGCAGGGCCTGCCGTAGCTGGTTGGTGCACATGCAGCCGGGGCGTGCCAGCCTTCCCCCGTGTCTCAAGCTGCCTTCCTCCACAGTATGGGAGGAAGAGCTACGTGGTCAAAGGCATGGCATTCTCCCCGGACTCCACCAAAATCGCCATTGGCCAAACGGACAACATTGTCTATGTCTACAGGATCGGAGAGGAGTGGTGAGTCTGGTGGCAGAGTGACCATTGCTGCACCTTTGAGAAGGGAGCGGTGCTCTCCCTCCTTTCCATGTAGTACGCTTTCTGGGTGCTGGTGCGGGTGTGCATCCAGGCCTGGTCCTCAGTGTAGTATGTGCCGCGGTGCGTATCATCTAACCTGCAATTAATCGCTCAGATAGCAACCGATAGGGTTTCCTTGAACAGTCTTTGTGGACCCAGGTGGGAGCATGTGCCAGCTTCTGTGGGGCTATGGGGCAAAATGAAAGTGCTGTTTCACAGATGTGTATATGAGGCACATGGCTGCGTCACTTCAGCGTCATTTGCTTGTATATGTTGTTCTTAAGCTGCTCAGAAAGGTATGTCACCAAAATTTTGTAAGCTCGGATAATTCCCATATTTTCCAATATCGTTAGTCTTGGAAAATGTAGAACTTTTTTTTTTTTTAATATTCTGCCTAAAGTTGGCTTGTAGGTAGACCACCAGCATATAAAACTTAACTCACTTGTGTTTGACAGTATTAAAATGAACTGAATACAAACAGTAGGGTATCTAGAATGGGCAGTTTTACCAGGTTCACCGATAGTCATTTTTGTCTGCTTTTGTCTGCCTTTTTCTGCAGGGGTGACAAGAAGGTGATATGCAACAAGTTCATCCAAATGGTGAGACTTAGACTCCTGTTTAACTCCATTTTCTGAAGTAGCTGTAGGATAAAAATAATTGTATGTCACTTTGTGCATACTCAGAGACATGCTCATAGGAGGGCCATCCACCATCTTTGGTGGATGGCCATCCACCATCTCAGTGCTGGCTGCAGAAGGGGAATGAATATAGTTCTATTGCACTGACAGTAAGGGAAGAAAGCTGTTGGTCAGCCTTTGTTTCTCTGTGGTTGACCTGCTGCACTGAGTGATCATGACACTGGAAGAGTGTTAAGAATGAGGAAAACAGGGCAAGAAGGGCTTGGTATCCACTTATCCCTTTCTTGAACATTACAGTTATACCAGATATGGATATTAGTAGTCTCACTGGAGAGTCCTTTCACTGTTCATTGCTTGCTGCTTCAGTATGCTGGCAATGACTAGCACTGCTTCCTGTCCCTCTGACTCTCCTTTGCTGCAGCACCTAGCTAGCAGCCTGATGGGAGGCTGCTTGTCTCTTGCAAGGCTTAGATGTTGCACACAGCATATGTACAGTTTTTGTATTTTAATTTAGTTGTTCATTTCTATTTTCTCTCACTCTCTCATTTATCCTATGCCTTTTTTTTTTACCATTTCTATCATAATGAATCTTTTATTTTTCTAGTGCTATCTGTGTGGTTTCTTATAATTCTTTCCTTGATGGGGGTAGATTTTCCACTGTAGATGAATTCTCCACTGTAGATTCTCCACTGTAGCTGAATATTTATATTTACATTTTTTTGGTACATTCAGTCAATATGGGAGATCATCTATTTGGCCCTTTCCCTCACCTGCAATTTGCAAAACCTGCTGGGCACTCTTGTGCATATTGTGAATACAGTGACACTGTTCTGCTCTGCTGACAAGCAAGGCATCCTGCTAGAGGGTCAGGATCTCAAGAGTACCTGCAAGTTTGACTTCCTTACACTAGTAGCTGAGCTTGTTACCACTTTGTAAAGCTTGTTGCTAAGTTTCAACTAGGCTGCTTGTGACTGTTAGACTGAAAATAATGGTTGGGAAATGATGAGGGAAATAAGTGGATGTCTGGGAAACAGGAAGAGTAAAAGATGCATCTTGTTGATTGGTTGGACATGTAAGTTATGAGCAACTTGGGCATCCAGGGACATTTAGGTATCTGATAGTTGTGTTTGCTGACATGAATGGTAAGAGTGGGGAAGAGTAAGTGAGATGAACAAATGAGAGTGTATATATATATCTAAAGCAGGCTCAGATTCTTAAAATGGAACAGATACGCATATGAAGCTGGTGCTAGTGGCACAATGCCAAACTTTGACTGAAATTTTTCAATTTAAATGTAAAGTGGCTTCATTAACTCTTTTGGCTTTCTCTTACAGTTAGGTTTCATGCTGACCCCCATACCTCCGATTTTAAAATTCCCTTTGATATAGATTTAATGAATCTTTCTGCCTGACCTATGTGGTAGCATTGGATAGTCATTTTGCTTGTAAATGAAAAGATACACGTAAGCACTACTTGTGATTCAGCAAATGAAGATCCAAAGTACAGATATTCTCATATCTGTTATGAAATCAGCAGAGTAAAATTATTTTTCTGATTTATATTTGTTGTTGCAAAAAAGTATTTTAAAATAGCTGTGATTTTATACATTTATTCATTTATACATTTCGAACATAACATCTGGAAAACCACACATAATCAAAGAGCAGTCCCCTCAGAAGAGCACTGATACTGAACAACATCATATAAATTTGATGCCCTGTTTAAGCTCTTCTCAGCCTCTTACTCTACCCCAGCTCACTGTTACCTAGTTCAAGTTTCAGTATGGAGGGCCTTAATCCCACTTTAAAGTCCATCACAGTGCTCCCATCTCTTCTCTTTCTTGGACTTGAGAGGTCTCATTCCTGAGCTGTCTTATGTAGCAAGCAATGGGGCAAGAAGCTTTGTAAGTATAGTGGAGCTCTTATCTCTCTTTTTAATTTCTCCTTGGCAGAGTGCTGTGACCTGCTTATTGTGGCCAGCGGAGAATATCATTGTCTTTGGTCTTGCTGAAGGAAAGGTAGAGAAACTTACTTTCCTGATACTCTTTTCCATGTAGGGGCTATGAGAGCCTGCCTGCACCTAGGGTGCAGGGGAAGAACCATTATTCTGTGGTCTTAGGGCACCCATCAGCAACAGAGGGATTACTCCAGTGGCTTAAATTTTCTGGTTTTGGTTCCCAGTTCTTGGAGGTTCTATTGGATCCTTTGGTCCTTTTCCTGAGCCTCCCTAAAAATGTGGAAGTCTGACACCTTCCACTCCCTTCTGGTTGAAGGTGTTCCTGCCAATGTCAGGGTGGTTGGAATTAGATGATCTTTAAGGTCCCTTTCAACCCAAACCATTCTATGATTCTATGACTGCAGCTCCAAGTTTCCCATTTGCTCTCCAACCTACCAGAAAGCAATGAGCTTTCTATTTCTGTTGCTGGTTATAGACTGGAAAACATACGGGGACATTATACTGCGGGATATCCATGATTCTGTTTGGGAACAGAAGCAATATTGATCAGATTCTCTTTCTCAGGTTCGTTTAGCAAATACAAAGAACAATAAGTCTTCCACCATTTATGGGACAGATTCCTATGTGGTCTCTCTAACTTCCAAGTGAGTATGGCATTGCTTTAGGCTACACTGCTTTACCTCAGCCTCCTACCTAGCTATTGGCCCTGGCAGAACTTGTGGCAGTATGGGAGGTTGTTAGAATGTCTTTCTGCTGTCAGTTCTTGTCAAGATGATAACATTCAGTGCTTTCCAAAAGTAATTTCTTCCTAAAATCTGACACCTGGCCACTCCACACTAGTCCATCCAGTTTGGCTGTCCCCAAACACATTTCAGGATGTAAGTGCCTGTAAGATACGTATGTTGATTTATTTGAATTCATGACTTGATAAAGATTAAAGTTGTCAACTTCATTAGATAATTACTAATAGCAGTCAGGTTTAAGGACTAAAAAATAGAAAATGTTCTGTCAGATTAAATTGTGACAAGTTTATAATTAGAAAAATAATCATAAAGTACCGTTCTGAATTATTTTGATTAATTTTCATTTTAAGTACTTTAGTATCATTTACCTAAAATATTTAAGATATGTCATCGTCCTAGCAGTAGAATTTTTGATAAATGGTGTTATTCTGTTTTCTGAGTGCTGAACAATAAAGCTAGTCTCTGACTTCCCACTGCTGACAGATCCTTTCAGAACCTGTCTTGCATCCATTTCTAAGTCTTTCTGTTTTTTCGTTCTCTCTTCTTTGCTCTTGTTTCTCCTCCCTTTCTTTCTTTACCCCTCTCCCCTTCCCTCACATCTCTTCCCTCTCTTTCCTCCTCCCCTTTTCTCGCTCTCCTCAGTCTCCCTCCACTATCTCTCTTTTCCTGTTATTTCTAAACACAGCACATGCTATTATTGATATGATGTTAATGACAAATCTGGGATTGCAATAGACAGAAGGCAGCATCATAGAAAATGTATTCTTTATATGAATTATCATTAAAAGTGTTCATTCTGTGTGCCTTACATTAAGCCTGCTTCTTCTTCCTTGCTCTCTTCTCCCTGCTTGTATAGAGAAGTACACAAGATACTAATGCTACAGATAATGGACTTAGTCCTGGAGTGTTTGTCTAGATGTCTTATGTTTTTTTCTT